TAGATAGATAGATAGATAGATAGATAGATAGATAGATAGATAGATAGATAGATAGATAGATAGATAGATAGATAGATAGATAGATAGATAGATAGATGGATGGATGGATGGATGGATGGATCCTCCTATTTCAAATTATTAAACACTGTTCACTGCTCCATAAAGATATGATGATAGAGTTTATCCAATGTATAAGACCTCACCCTACCTTTCATTTCATTACAAAAATGTTTAAAACATCAATGTACTTTAGGTCATGATACACAAAAAAAGTTGTATTACAATGTTCACATTGTATATAAGACTCACAATGACAAGGCTAAAAGATCAAATTTAATCTTTTTTTGTTATGGTGTCCATGAGAAAAGACCTTGAGAGTTTAGCAAATATCTACATTTCCTTCAAAAACTCGAATCTAGTTTGTTCTCGACCACACATCGGGTGAAGGATATTTACAAAAAAGTCCATACAGTGTCTCCATTAGCTTTGTCTAAATTCTCCATGCAGCTCCGTGATAATAAACAAAAAAACAAAAAACTTTTTATTCAACAGTATTTCTTCAGCAGTTTCAACAAACAATGTTTATCAGAAACCTCGGATGAACATTGACAGCGTAGCCCTACACATGAGTAAAAGCACATTTATTTGTAACTGTTACATTTGTGATGAGACAAAATGTTCCTACTTTTCATCCATTCCTACTTTTTTTTGCCATAAAATCATTTTCTTGGTAATTAAAAAAAAAACTTCTCTGTGGATTTTGACAAAACAGCAGTGAAGCAGTTACAGGTGTTGGCCAGATGTTTCTCTCAAACACCACAAGCTGCCATAAGTACTGTCTGTTTATTATTGATGTAATTGTTTTGGCACCAGCAATCTGTTTTTATGTTTGAATACTTTGCAGGGAACAAAGAAATAAAATGTAAAAATCAATCACTCTTGAAAGAGAATCTTGATTTGCTCATAGTTAAGGCCACTGCAGTTCCAAATGTGTCTGTGACGGCAGCTTCATCTCAACACTATCACACAGAGAACTCGTACCATCAGCAACCGGCAACAGCCTAATCACGTTCACGTATTTTATTATAATATTTTAGCAACTTAGTATTTATAATTCTGCTATCGTTTTAGCTCTAATGGAAGGGTATTTTGCAGTGCTTTTGGCAGAAATAGGAAAAGAACTATTAATTTGGCATCTGCTCAGAATTCAAAATTTGGAGAAGCTCAATTTCGTTCCAGGAAGCTGAGTTTTATTTATAATAATAGTTTATTTTTGCTTCCCTCTGCCAGCACTTACATTTGGATTTATACTCCTGTTTGTTACATCTGAAAAATCTGAAAATAACACAGGTTACAGTGAATTATTTAACATCACGTCTAGTAGTACAGAGGAAGACAGAGGATGTGATTAAACATGTCAAATAATCGTTGCGGTGTCAGAAGAAGTTGCTGTTTCCTGCCAGAAAACACAAACTAAGGCCATCGAATCACACTTGGAGTCTGTCGGTCCCTCCATGCTGCTTTCATGTTCTCGACACTTGTGAGCCACACAGACAGATCCTGTCAGAGCTAACGGTCCTGCTCAGGCCCACATCCACCCTCAGCTTTGATCCGACGGTAAATAATAGATGGTGGTCAGACAGTCAAGTTTTCCTCTTGTAATGGTGAGAAGATTCTGGGCCTCCAGTTACTGCACTTTTTTTTTACACAACACACAGACTAGAAAATAGGCCTCAGGCTGCTCACCCTGTCTCCTTGTTCATAAGACTTTTTCTACTAGTGGTGTTTTGTCGCAGGCCAGTCAAAGAGTCAGCAGCTGAGGACTTGGTGGGAGCTGAGCTGCTGCAGTTCATTTCCATGTGCAGTGAATGAACTGAAGTAGAAAAAAAGGAGAGGAATTGCTTTATGTAATCTTTTCTGTCTGAGTCTGCATCTTCAATTTATGAGGCTGTAAACAGTATGCACATAATTCATCACTGCAAAGGGGAGTGTGTGAGTGTGTGTGTGTGTGTTTGTGCACAAGCTCGTGCAGGACACAGGAGGAAGGTTTGCAATATTAGAGTGTGAATAATTCATACAATGCATATAATCCTCCCTTTTCCAGGAGGAAAATAAGAATGATCCATGAAAAAGCTCCACACCGAGGCGGATGATAAGCATCGGACTCACCGAGCGCTGCTCCCCCAGCAGCACGAGTGATCTCCAAGGAGTAAAAAGAAGCTGTTTGGCTGCATTTGTATACATGCAGTAAAATGACTAAGTCTCTCCTCCTACAGGCCAACAGCACAGGGAGAAGAAATAGGAGAAAAGAGTCGAAGAAAAAAGAGGAGAGACAACAAGAGGAAGGAGGTTTGTAACTGTGACTGTAACAGAGGATCATCACAACAACTGTTGACTAAAATAATTTAAAATATATATATATATATGGACAAGAAGGTTTTACTGTGGTCTGTGGTGCAGTGTCAGGGGCAGCTGACTTTTCAGTGTGTTTTCACACAAGTGTGGGGTGCGCCCTACTGCTGGGAAGACATGACAGGCGGGACGCGACGACCGGGAGGACATTTTCAAGGGAATGATGTCAGAACTACACTTTTATTTTATTTTTATTTTATTAACTTTGTGTTATTTGAAGGTAATGAAATGTAATTTTGTCAAGATTTTTGTTGGGGCAACAGGGGCAGGTGGTTCATTTGTGGGGAATGACCCAAAATGTTTGAGAACCACTGCTTTAAGTTGTGGGTTTGAATACCGACTCATTTAGCCCACCATCCCTGCTACGGAGCAGATGTAAAGCCAGACTTTTACATATTTGTGCTAGAGTTTTTACAAAGCCTCCGATACCGGACAGCAGAGGTATAGAAAATAGAACTATATTTCCATGAGCTTCATAAGAGTTTGACCTTTGCCTTTAAAGGATCAATCACATTCCTGATGCTACTTTTGTCTAAAGTCAATGTGGTGACAGTAGAAGAACATGCAGAAATGTTTTAGTTCTTTAGAGTTTGTGCATCTGTCTTGCACTTCCTTATGAATTAACTTTACCATGAAGTCATTCTGCTCTGGATATGTTGGATATCAATGTGTACGGGTGGACTGCAGAAGTCACTGAAGAAGAACAGTTGACATGTCGATGGGTGAGTAAAGGCGAAGCTGCACCGTGGGAAAATTGAAACCACATTCAGTTTGCATAGGAATCGATGCCATAACAAGACTAGGTGGTGAGAAATGTCCAGGTCGTGCTGGTGGGAGGAATCCTGGATCAGGCTGGATTAGGTGAGAGGAGGCACTGAAGCCGTTGGAGTTACATATCCAAGGCCTGGTTTGGATACAAAGAAGGCGAAGCTGCTGATTTCCCACCATGGCCACAGGGGTGAGTCACGTCAAATAAAGTAAAGACATTAAACTAAACAGCAACCTGCTCGCTGGGCTGTACGACACACCAACGAGGCAGAAGACAAGAACAGAATGGCCGCACAAACAAGCTGGTGAGCAAAGCTTTACGTGAAAAGAATCCGTCGACGTTTTTTTTCACTGTACTTCATATGTGACATCAGTTTCTCTAATTAAGAGCCAAACACATCGATAGTAAACCCAGTTTGTCACAGAAGTTGGTTCAATAGCTGTATCTAACTGCGGTGTTGTCATCCACGTAGGAAAATAAGAAGTCCTCGTGTTTACAGTCTGTCACAGCTGCACTCTCTCTTCACGTGCAGTCTGTGATATACATTAGCGCCGTGGTGGAACCAAAGATTTCCACTGTCCCTCAGTGAGAAGACTTTGAATTAAAGTGGCTTCAAATACCCAGTGGAGTTTTCATTAAGGCCTTTGTCTGCAGGAAACATTTCACACCACAAGTTTTACTGAGGCCAAACGAATGTGAGAAAGTGGATGTGCTGTAATTGCAGTGCTCTCAGAAGGAGCTAATCAGATGTTTTCAACATCCACTCTGACTTTTACTTCTTCTTCACAGTCACATGCAGGTGAAGTCACATGCAGCTGCTTGTAACCAAAATAAGAAACGTTTGTCCTTAAAAAAAAAAATTGGCTTTCATTTCAAGTGTCTTTAAGACGAGTTTGTTTTTTGGCAAATTTGGCAAACACTCCTGCCAACAGGAGTGATGCAAACTGATATAAATAGACTAAAAATGTTTCTCCAAATGACATCATATCCTCACATCATCCTCATGTCTGGAACAACAAAGCAGTTCAGTTTAACTTATTGTATTATTGTAGTTTAAGAGATCCACGAACAACCACATGGGGGCAGCATATCAATATAATTTCATCCATCCATCCATCCATTTTCATCCGCTTATCCGTTACCAGGTCTCCATGACCACCACCTACATCACCGTACCCACCCCCCTGAACCTTCCTGCAGGTGGTGAGTCCACTGGAAGGTACCAACCACCCTAACTGGGATTCGAACTTGTCCAGGAGGTGAACCCTGGGGTTCAACACCAATGACAGAGACATTGCCTCTGGGCCAAAGCGCCACTCAATATTTTTTCATCTCTTGTTGAATTTTTGTTTCCACTGTGGGTCTTTCTTCTGTATTGTTTTTGCTTTAAGCTTTCTGGGCCACCGTAGATAATAAACACATTTTCAGATGTGACTTTTTTCCACAAACTGCTAACAAGTGTGAATACATGTTTTCTTGATGATTTGTCCACATCTTTGAATATTTCCTTACATACCAATTTGCTTATTTGTTTTCATCTTATGGTCAAATGTCTACCCGCTTTCCCATTAAAGGTGACTTTTAGTAGTAACTAAGAGAGGACAGAAACCGTAGCTCCATAACTTGACGGCAGTGAAGTGGCACAAAGAAGGATTTAATTTTACCACAATTAAAAAAAAAACTATGAAAAAAAACCAACATGAGATGTAAAAGGTTTACTTTAAAGCTCAGCGTCAACTTTAACAGTCCAAACTGTTACACTGACTTTGCAACATTCATGAAACATCAAACAAAAATGAACCCAAAACTGCTAAAAAAAAATTCCGCGCCGGGCTCCCAGCTTCACAGACACGCAGCAGCTGCTGCTGTGGTTTCTCTCACCACACCAGAAACTGCCTGTTCTTTCCTCAGTATTGGCTCCAGTCAGAAACCTAGCAGGTAGAGCACAAAGCTGCCACTGTACACAAAAAGCCAGAACAGTTTCTTCTTTCCAGAACTTTACAGCTCTCTGTGACTCACTGTTTAGAGCACAAGGTCCCAACTTTTCCTCTACCACGAAACATTAATTGAGGCTGTTCTTCAAACCTTCTTCAAACTTCACTTTTTTCTCTCTTTTTAGTGTTTTCTTTTTTTCAGCTTTACCAAGGATTCTGTATATTTCTCACTGTTTTTCTCTCACACAGAGAAGGAGCAGTTTCCACTGGGAGAACAGTGACAAACGACTCCCGAGGACCATCGTACAGGAGTTCAAGCTCAGGGTCCTGACCAAGTGGTGATTAAAGATGTGGCTCAAATATGATTCATCGATTGGCTCACACGCTGCACATGCTCAGCTCAGTGTGCTATAGAATAATGTAGATTCAATTACCATAGAAATATAAATGCTTTAACAGTGCAAACCTTTCCATGTCAAGGACCAGCATTAGCTTCAGGCCTGAAACCCCCACAAACAATGCTACAAAATACATATATATATATAAAAAGAAACATAATGTTTTGAAGTGTATGAAGTGTGTTTTTTACTTTTAATGACAATTCAATAATTATTAAATTTGTTTAGTAAAAGAAAATTCATAACGGACATGTTTTCATCGTGGTCAAAAACATTTTATACTAGTTAGCTATATGGAGCAGAGCAGCTTGATAACAGGAGCATGTCATCAGGTCTACACAGGTTATGGTATTGTCATGCCCAAGTTGAAACAGTCACACCGGGTGTGTTTAGGGTCCATATTTGTTTATTTTTATTATTTTCATTTTCTTTATTATCTTCTTTACATATCTACTAAGATGTGAACTTGAAGGTCAGGTTGGTGCCATGTCTCTTAGAAATGCCCAACAACTTGTATTTGTATCACTAAAAATGAATACTAAAGTATACTAATTATACAGTAAAATACTGCAGATACACACAAGAATGCAGCCCTTTTTGTTTAACGCCAAACAGATAATGAATTAATTATTATTTTATAGTTCATCTAGCTCCATAAACAACAAATAAATTCAGGCTCACAGCAATTCCTGATGTAAATGTCATTTCAGACTGGGGTTGTCACCACTAGTCAGATCACAGGAGTTTTAATGGAGGTCTCAACTGTGATGATGTCATCCACACAGCTGTGGGTGTAATATCGAGCAGATCCCTCCAGGGCACAGCGTCTATTTGAACGCCAATGAAAAACACTTAGACAATTTGAAATGGCACTAATTGGCATGAGAGATACAATGAGGCGTGTCAGGAAGAGAGGAAGAGTAAGGAAGTTAGACGATACGGCCTGCGTGTGATCGTGGACAAGCTTGAATTTTCCTTCTCTTCTTTATTACCTCTGATTTCATCCTACACAAAAACAATATGCCTGTGTCTTCCGTCCTGTTCTGTCCGCCTCGCCATCTGTTGTTTTTCTCTTTTGTTGCTCTACCGTCGCGCGCTGGCCAAGATTGTCAGACTGTACCTCAATTTCTACTGAGATGGAAAATAGAAATGAAATGAACAAAAAGGCTTTTTCTACACAGATACATTTTCCCTGAGCCCAGAATGGAATGAGTCAATCTGTGGTTCTCATAAAAAATGTAATCACACTACAAGGGAGAAGAGAAAAAAAGGGGGGGGAGACAAAAAAGTAAGTGGCCAACTTCAGCTTCAGGTTATATCAAACTTGGGATAAAAGTTAGAGTGAGTAAAACTATCCTGT